TTTTTTTTTTTTTTTTTTTTTTTACTCATATTAGCCCAACGCTAGGAGCGGAGGGAGGGGTGGCTCACCCGAGCTCCAGCCCAATCTTAATTTTTTGTATTATCTAAATATGTAGTAATAAAAAATATTTTGGTCCATGTTTTATTAATTTCATTTATGATAAGATTATAGTTCATATTAATTGAAATTTATGTTATATTAAACCAAAAAATTATACATATTTTTCTACATGACTCAAAATTTTTATGTATCTTTCTGTGGTTATAGCTTACTTTGTCATTTTTTCTTCTTTTGTCTTTATTTTTTAATATTTGGTTTAAGACACAATTAATTTATATTCTTTATATGTGAAACATATCATTACTTGTTAACTTTTAAATAAATTATATCTGAATATGTGAAATATATTTTAATTTCATTAATTTGCATAGCATATTTGGAATTCCACGATTTAATTAAAAATATCACATAACAGGTATGTAGGGTTAACTTGTCTATTCAATAAGCATACACAATGTTTTGAGGTCAATCGTAAAAAAAGTATATGCCACATAAGAAATAGACACAATTTAAAAAAATATATATATTCTTCAATGCAAATAAAACTAGACTAGGTCCTGCTGATGTGGTTGTCAAAAAAAAAAAAAAAAAAAACACAATCTTCCGTTAAGTCTATTTTAGGCTCAAGTAGAGACCTAATCTATTTGCATTGTAGTAGATTATGTTAATTTTACATAGTTTTTATCTATGTCATCCAAGACTTAAGTTTATTTATATGTCACAAGGCAAGACTAGACCCAATGCATTGTAGACTTCCACAATTTAAAATGACCAATGCATTTTAGACTTCAACAATTTAAATGAAATATGATATAACTAGTATGGTGGGTTGACCTCCTAATAATAAAATGTTAATCTCATACTAGTATTTGAAATAAGTTATATTATTTATATAAGTTTAATTTAAGTAAGCAAGAAGAACTATTATTTTTTGATTAAAAAATTACTATATCAACTAAAAACAAAATCTACAAGTTTGTAAAATGCAATCGATTTCACATAAATACGCCTAAAAAAAATGTGTTTTTAATTTACTAAAACAACATGCCATATATTTAATAATTTATCTTTGTTTCGTTTTGTAATTTACATTAAACTATTAAGAAATTATCATACTTTAAATTTTACACATAACATTATTGATATTAGTGAAGCTAAATTGAGTCGAGTACGCCGTGTTCGAACTTATGCTCGTATAATAGACGAGCAAGTTGGTTCGGTATCATTTAATAAATTGAATGTAATTAATTAAGTTCTGCACGTCTGAATTAAATTATCATTTTATGTTTATATGAATGAGTTAAGATTGACACGAGCCGAACTGAGTTGTACTCCTCAACAAATTGGTTCTAGCAAAGTCGAAAATATTTCTGGCTACGACCCTGCTCAACGCATCGACTCAAAGTAGAGTTGTTAAGCGAAACGAAATGAACGAACCGCTCATGAGCTTCGTCCGACTTTTTGAGCAATTAGTTTGATAGCAAGACTAGATGAGATCAAAATAAGATATAATTTCATAATTTAATTTGTTAATATTTGTTGATATGACTCATATATTGACAAAGGAAGAAGGCAGGCTGATGCCTGCGAGCGTAACAGAGCGAACGTAGGCACATTATCGAACCACGTAAATCTTGTGTTGTTCACTTTTCTCGTTTTTAATTCGTATGCCATATTGTCATCTACTCTCAACAATATTTATATACGAATTGAACTCGAATTCATTTATCACTATATTCAGCTATTTAGTTGTTTCAACCGACTAACTAACCGCTTGTAATTATGTTTCATAATATATCTATAGTTGCATAAAAAAAAAAGAAAAAAAAAATTTGGTGAACACGTCACCATAGCAAAAATATGCTTTTATAAAATCCAAAACACCTACGCCACTCTACACATCCCAATTCTCTGTTCATTCCATTCCTTCCATCATTCTCTCTCTCACACGGACCACACGATCCTCTGCGCACTGAATTAAAATGGACGCCCACGATTATATTCCCCCGCCGGAGTTCGACGTCGGCAGCCTACGCGCCGCCAAGGTGCTTGGCAGAGGCGCTACCGGAATAGTCTTCCTCGCCCGCGATACCTCATCGCCCCACCATCCCCCCTTCGCCCTCAAGGTGGTCGACGAGTCCGTCGCCCACCCCCACGCCGCCCGTCGCGCCCGACACGAGATCTCCGTCCTCCGACGCCTCTCCTCCGGGGCCGATGGTGGCGCGGGCCACCCCTTCCTCCCCCTCCTTCTCGGCTCCTCCGAGGGCGGGGGGCTCATCTGCTGGGCCACCCCCTTCTGCCCCGGCGGCGATCTCAACGACCTCCGTCACCGCCAGCACGACCGCGCCTTCTCCCCCGCCGTCATCCGCTTCTACCTGGCGGAGATCGTCTGCGCGCTCGAACACCTACACCGCCGCGGCATCGTGTACAGGGACCTAAAGCCGGAGAACGTCCTCGTGCAGCGGTCGGGCCACGTGACCCTCACCGACTTCGATCTGTCGCGTGACCTGCACGTCCCGACCCCAAAACCAGAAATTCCGGTGGATGAAAATCCTGTCAGGCGCCCGCCCGCGACCCGTAACTTCACGCGCCTGATTTTCCCCGGCAGAGGAAACCACGCTCAACAAAACAAAAATAAAAAGGGAACTAAAAAGCCGAAAAGCGCGCGTGTCTCACCTGTAAGCCGGAGGCCGAACCCCGGTGACCTTCCAACCAACGAGCGCTCGAACTCATTCGTCGGAACCGTGGAATACGTCGCGCCGGAGGTCATACGCGGCGACGGCTACGAGTTCGCCGTCGATTGGTGGGCCCTGGGCGTGCTCTGCTACGAGATGCTGTACGGTGCGACGCCGTTTAAGGGGCGGAATCGGAAGGAGACCTTCCAGAAAATACTGCTGGCCGAGCCGGCATTCATGGGTAAACCCGACGCGCTCACGGATTTGATAAAAGGGCTGCTGGAAAAGGATCCCACGCGCCGTCTGGGGTACGGCCGAGGCGCGTGTGAAGTCAAGGAGCACGAGTTTTTCCGGGGGCTGAGGTGGGATTTACTGATGGAAGTTTCACGGCCGCCGTTTCTGCCGTCAGCAGGTGACGAGGCTGATACGGCGGAATGGGGGACTGATGTAACTGAGTATTTTCAGAAACTCAGGCAGCCGCCGTCGCCCTCACGGTCGCCGTCGATAGATGAGTGTCGGAATAATTTCTCGTTAACGGAGTTCTGAGGCACGTGTGAAAAGGGTGTAATCTAATGGTTCGTTTACGTTTTTTTTTTTATTTTTTATTTATTTTATTTTCTTTCTTTATAGTTTAGTTTGTAAATAAAATAAAGCTTTTTTTTTACCAACATGGGTAACTACTTTGATGCCGCTTAACCAAGGCCTCGTGTTCGAGTTCTTGTGGATGCAGAAAATTTTTGGGAGACTCATCCACCATCGCCAAGTGTGCAATTCGGATTGATCAACGGATTAGTCGGGACATAGCTTTGAATACCGTAATTGACTATAAAAAAAAAGTTTTTAGAACCTAAAAACCTGTGTATATCTAAATTTTCAATTTGAATGTGCCCTAATTATCCTTTTAAAAAAACTTTAATGCTTAACTTACATACGCGCGTGAGGCGCGTGGGTACAATGTCCATGATGGGGGATAAAATGGCTGTTTCTGATGATCAATGTTTTTGGGTGCCATTGGTTTTCACTTCGATTAGAGGAAAAGAATTTTGTGTGTAAATTATGTTTTTGCTTTGCTATTTGGTGGAGTAAATGAAAGGGAAATGCTCTTTTACCCAGATCGTTTATGTGGCACGCACACATTGATGATGTTAATATATTATAAAAGATATATCACCAATGTGTGCGTGCCACATAAACAGTTGACATATTAACATGTGTCCACCGTGGATAGGAGAGCATTTCCGTAAATGGAAATTCATCATTTTGTTTGCTTCTTTATAGAAAACATTCTCAACTTGGAAAAAAAAGTAAGGAAAAATGTTGATTGCACATGTTTTAATTCCAATATTGCTAATTTTTCTGGTAATGTTTAAATTTCCTAAAATTGCCTAAGAGTTATCGAACCTTTATTTTGAATCTCCCCAAAGTTGAGATATCTCATGGATGTCAATCTACAAAAATAAAAACATTTTTTGTTTTTATATTTTTACGAATGTATGATAATTTATTATTATCTCATATAATCGTTGTTTGTGATTAATGAGAAAAAATATATACTTGTGTGTGTGCGCGTACGCGTGCGGAGGAGATATATGTTATTTCATGTAAAACTAGAATTTTTAAGAGGGAAAAAGTAAAACTAGAATTTTTAAGAGGAATTTTAGTTGTTATTTCATGTAAATACAAACATTTTTATCGATTTGTCAAAAATAAAAATGTCGTTTTGTCAAATAGAAAAATGGTATGTATATAAGGAACAACAAATAATAAATAAATTATTTAAAGGAACCGCTAATTTTAGCTTTCTTAAAAAAAAAAAAAAAATCTAACTGTAATAATGGTCCCTTTGCTCAATTTTGTTCCTTTTTCAAGTTTTTTCAATTGGTTGATTTAAAGTTGGGTGTTATTGTATCATTACTTGGACCAAATGTCAGAAATTACGGGATTACATTAGTCTTTAGCCTTTTGTTTTGTTTGTGATACAATTGATCTGATCAAAACACTTCGACCGTGACAAAAATTTTATGAAGCAATCGGGTAATTTTTTTATGGAGTCATTCATTGTTTAATATATTGACAATTGTCTAAATTGTATTTATTGTAGTACACGTGTCAATACATTACTGGTGAATAAGTGTAAATTGCTCATAAGTCGAACCATTCGATAACACCATAACAAAACTGTGATTATGACTAATCATATAAGTCCACTCTACACTTAAACCCAAATTTGACCAAAACAAAATAAGATTCTGTGGTCAGATAAATGGCATTAATTTAGTATGTGTATCACGAATTTGAGATGACATTGTGTCAGGGATGATGGAATCAGAATTTAAAACCTTCTGAATAGAAATCTGCACGATAATATATAAAAAATAAATATAAGAAAAAAGGTAACTTTTAATTATACTGAAATATATGACTATATCTTGGACTCTCAATAGACATGACCACGGGCCGAACCGGCCTCCTAAGGGCCGGTTCGTTCAACCGGACCCTTAAGGTCGCGGTTTGGTTCTGGTTCATAATTTTTTTTGACTTGTCGGTCCGGTTCGAGCTGCGAGTCAGACGACGGTGTTATTTTTGTAAAGGACCGTATCGGCCCATGACCCGCCGTGACGGTGAACTGGCGGTTCAGGGCCGCTTCCCATAGTTTATTTCGGCAAGAACCGGCTTGCCGGGCTGGTTTGGGCCACGAGTCGGCCGACGGGTCACGATGTTATTTTTCTTTTTTTAAGGGTTATACTGGCTCGTGACCCGTCGGGTCGATGAACTGGCGGTTCAAGACAGGTTCATAGTTTATTTTGGGCCGGTCACGGGCCATGATATTGAGGCTCGCCGACCCGGCATGCCGTGCTGGGCCTGGCCGCGGGCCGACAATTGGCCACCTCTACCTGTCAATATATACATGATCTAATAATTTATATAATAATTAATAAAAAAAATATTTTGTTTTGCTCTTAAAACCCACATTCGCTCTCTTTATCTACTCTCTTCTCCATGTTATTGCTATGGATTCAAAAATTTTATGGAGCTATTGGATGAATGACTAGAGGGACGTGATTTGACACATACACATATTTTAAGTGTATTTATTTTAAAACGGATTACTAGACATGATTCGACACATACACATATTTTAAGTGTATTTATTTTAAAACACAAGTCAATGTACTAGTTTTATAAATAA